ATGACATTTATCCTAAATGGGCTACCTTTATCCAATCTATTTCATTTCCACAAACTGATAAAGCATCTTTATTTGCAACCCATCAAGAAGCTTGCCGTAGAGATGTCGAGCGTGCTTTTGGAGTTTTACAAGCTCGATTTGCCATTGTTAAAAATCCGGCTCTTCTTTGGGATAAAATAAAAATAGGAAATATTATGCGAGCATGTATAATACTTCACAATATGATAGTAGAAGACAAACGAGATGGGTATACTCAGTTTGATACTACCGAATTCGAACAAGCGGAATCTGCAGGAAGTTCACGGGTGGATTTCACATATTCTACAGATATGCCTTCAAATTTCTTCGGAATGATGACCAATAGAGCTCGAGTTCGTGATCGAGGTATGCATCAACAATTGAAGAATGATTTGGTCGAGCATATATGGACAAAATATTCCAAAAATTAAGTTTAAAACATTTGTGCTTTATATTATTTATGTTATAAATTGTATCTCATGTATGTTTTAATTTTTTAATTTGCAACAATTATTAAATTTTCTATAATTATAAATTTTATTTTTATATTATTATTATTTATTTTATTTTATTTTTGGCAAAGTTTAATTTTTTTTTTTAAGAACCACATGTTAAGAGTCTACCATTAATAACACAAAAATCTTAACTCAAAAATACTATCTCTTAACAATCACTTTTACAAATATATTACTTAAATATTGCTAAGAGTTATTTCTAAGATACTACCAATAATCATGCTCTTAGCCTGTTAATTATGAACACACTTGACCTGTTGGTTTAAACACATATGTTTTCTTTTACAATATTATATTTTAGATATTTATTATATTCTCAACGTTACTGAACGAACCACGTGAACGAGAAAAAGAAGCAAGAATTAGGTCTAATTTAAAGCCCTCATACCAACATATTACCATCAAATATCAGATGTAGTAGAAGACTGGCATCAGCGTGACGTCATTTCCCGTCGACATTACGTAATTCACTGAAACAACGCCGTTGCCGTAGAAATATAGATCATGGTGAGATGATATCGCGATTAATTGATCTGGAGAAAGCGAGATCCGTTTTTCTTGGGACCTCAAAAGGAGACAAAGTTTGGTGACGTGTCGACTTCAGGAGCAGTGGACCACTGTTCTGTCGGCGTCGCCTTTCCAAGACATACGCTAATAACGACAAAACACTACTTTTTCGGTGCACAAAATATCGACTATACCCCTGGCTCTTTATTTTATTTACTGGTTTATGCCATCATTGTTTTAGGCTAAAAACGTCAACGACGATCGACGCAGTTACTTTCACACTGTGTTTGTCACTTGATCGGGATAAGATTCTCAATGATGTGAATTTACCATATTGCCAATGACTCCATTACTTGGGTACCACAAGTTTGTGGTGCTCTTCGGCTTCTATTGTTCATACGAAAGCAACTACTATTCCAGTGACGTTTACGTGCAAGAAACAATAATATTATCTGTATGTCTTATTTACTTCTAAATTGAAAATTAGACAAGCATAAAACATCTCAATTTGCTTAGTACTTATTCTCTGCCAACCAAACTTTATATATTAATTCTATAAACTTATTTCATGTATTATTCTCAATAATTAATCTATGATATTTCAATATCAACAGAGACCAATTATATCCATGTCTTTTAAATGGCCTCAAGTACTCCACATGGGTTTCTACCAGTTTTTCTTACAATAATTAATTCGTTGGAACTTCATTTGTGTTTTTATTTTGCCATTTGAAAATTGAAAGTTACTTAATTCCTGTAAATTGGATCTAAAAAATGCTTAAGTGCTTTTAAGAGAATTTCGAAGTTAGCAAAAGCGTGCAAAACTGACCTTGATTTGACTCATCAGTTTGTAAAAGTATTTAATTCAACCAAAAAATAAAAAATCAACCACTGATTAACCGGATTAGGGCATATCAACTTGGTTTTAGAATTACTGAGTTAAACTTTGATTCGATAGTTGGTTTGCTAACATTGGTTAATTACTCGTTCGACTATTATTGTTAACTACTTTGTATTAATTGTTTAGAAGAACTAATGTAAGGGCATATGCAAGGGTATAACACATGGTGTGTTCTTAAGGGTTTTAAAATAATAAAAATGTTGAATAGTGGGTACAACTGTTTTTAAAATTATAAAAACTGTTCTTCCTGAAGAACAGTTTGCAGGATAACTGTTCTTAAGTTACAACTGTTCTACCACTGTTTCTATTATTTTAATCCTAAGAACAGGGAAAGAGTTATAGCGATGTGGATGGTCAAACTAGATTTCAATATATAGGCTAGCTAGACTAAGCTAAGATCCATATCTCACATATTTTTTTCTTTTAGAAACAAAATTACAAAACAAAAAAAAAATCACCGAAAGCTAACATGTGATTGGCGTTATGATAACTTTTTGGATTTATTAGGAATGGACCGGCCCCGAGATATGTTCTAAAAGTAATTTATTGTACGTGTCATTGATCACACTCACCTATATCATATACGTACACTTAATATCCAGAATTGAGATTTTAATTAAAATGTACCGATTTTGGCTAACACTGCACGTACTAAAAAAAGACCCACTTATAAACGTATGGTTGCGACCCATACATAACTCGTGACCTCCAAATTATATCTTTTCTTGAAATAGATGTTTTAAAATCTAGCTCGAGTCTAGAAGACTTTTAGAAATTTGATTCAAGTTGAGTTTACCCCTGTTGAAAGCTATGATTTGATTTTGGCAAAAAGTCTCATGTATAGGTTCAACATAGAGTCGTTTGCTCACAAGTTAAAACTTCAATGTATCTATTAAATTTATCTTAACATTTCTAGAGCCTGTGTCCAAAAAAAAAAAAATCTAGAGCATGTGTTACCAAATGAACTACTATAATATTTTCTTAGATAGAGAGAAGAAATCAGCGTAAATAAGTCAAAAAGATAATATGTTAACCATAAATTGAATTGTTGGTTTTCACTAACTAAGCAATGAAATATATGAACTGAAGTGATCAAGCTAAGTAGTTTAAGAAAGTCCTCAAGAAAGAAAGAAACCACTGTTAAATTCTCTTTGGGATGAGAATGAGATTGGTCATAAATCACAATATAAAAAGTCTATGCGACGTTCGTCATTCATTTTGAAATATATGGGGTTTTATCATTTTTATGCATCTATTAAACATTTAAACTATAAGGCAGAAATTGGAATTGTGGTTCGTGGAGGATATGAGAAGATGAAGAGAGAATGAAATGAAAGTAATCGGGGCGAGAAAATGAAGGCGTGGCAGAGAATTTATGATTCGATACAGAACTTTTTAAAACAGAAGTCTTGACTCTTCTCTTACCTCAATAAATTTTAAAAGTTTTTTGTGGGGACTACACGGACTCGTCTTTATATGTTAAATCACCCAAGCAAAAAATAACCGATGGAAGGATTTGGAAATTTTTTGGAATTGACTCGGTTGGAAAACTTGCAATTAATATGTGAAGACAAAGAAGATGGATAATTTTTGTTATTTCTGCATCAAATGCGTGTTTATTAATGGTCAAAATGGTGTCGACAAAACTATTTCCGAATATATATACTAGGAAAATTTTAACATTTTATCAGATGCATAATTTTGATGAATTTATATGAAAACATATACTCCATCCGTTTCAGTTTAGTTGTCGTTTTATGATTTAAATTTTGTTTCATAATAGTTGTCGTTTTAGGTTTTCAATGCAAATGTTTGGTGAAAATTCCAGTTTTATTCCTACTGTTTTAATGTTTTGGCCAATGATTTTTTTTATAAAATATATTAATAAAGAGTAAAACAGAAAATTAAATGCTTTTCTTAATTTGTGTGAAAAAACCTTAAACGACAACTAAAACGAAACGGAGGGAGTAATATATATGACTAACTGGAAAGAAAATATCATTTTAGTATGCTATCATTGATGGCATCATTTATACAAGATGTGTTCTAAGTTCTAAGACTTCTAACTAACTAATCATATTGCATTTTGTATGAATCGTAATTAATTATGGCAGTCGAATGCTCAAGCTTTCATTTTCATTTGTACCCAAAATTTGATGTATTACAATATTTCACTAGCTCTTACTTGATAAATGTTATAAAAACAAGTGTGAATGTATTCCCTAAAAGAGGTGTGAATCTAAAACGTCCACCTTCAGTATGAAATACATATTGAGATGAATTTTGCCAACGCCATATTCAAAGCTACCCACCTTGTCATTAGTAGAAATTTATCTATTTAATGTTACTACATATCTCGAAAGTTAAGGAATATTTTACTAATTATGTTTCAGCTTTTGAATTAGAATATTGTACCAAAGAGAATTGTTACAAAAAGTTTTAGATTCTTGCTAGTCCAACATTTGTCTACACCTAAACTTTAAGATATAGATTTCCAACATTTGTCTATTTTTCACCATTAAACCTGAATTAATAAAATTGCACACCCCTAATTGATCATTAGATTTAAACTTCCAAAGTGTGGTATGAACAAAATTGAAGGGTATACCAGTTTTAAATTTACAAATCCAAGCTTTTGTAGAATTTTGCGATAATTAGATATAAATATCTATCATAGTCTGTTAACTAATGAAAAAAAAAAAAAATTCGAAGATAAAGCAAATAAAATCATAGACTAGTAGAAGAATTTGTGCAAAACGCAACATAAAAGTATATTGATACACTCCCATATAGATGTTTGTCATGAATGTAGTGCTTATAATTCGTCTGAAATGATTAATAACACTAAAATTATGGTTAGAAATATTGTATATTTATTTGTATTATTTCAAAGTAGAAACATTATATCAAAAGCATAATAAAAATAGTTTGGTAAACTTTAAATAAAAGAAGAAGAAATCAACCAAAAAAAAAAGTCAAAGCGCTCCATGTGAAATCTATAAAGCAACCTTTCTGGTTTGTTTTCTTGTGTCTATAAATATGTACAAGCTCTTTCTAAATTTTAAAAACCCAAAACCTCATTAAATAGATCTTAAAACCAAAAAAAAAAAACACAAAATAAATTCTACTTTTCTTTCAAAACCAATCTCTCATTATCTCAATCATATTCTTGTTCAATCTCTTTTGAACTTGAAAATCCTCTGTTTCAAGCTTCCCCATTTTCTTCTTCTTTTGCTCAAATCAAACACAATAGTTAGGGTTTCTTTCTTTCTTATACTCCACGAAATGGAAGAAAGCAATGATCTTTTTCAGACCAACTTCAGTCCTAAAATCTCAGAAATCAGAGCATCTCTGTCTCAGATCATATTAGCAGGAGGACCAAACACACTCGACTCAATCTTCTCACTTCTCACTCCCTCCACCGTAGAATCCGCCGCAACATCTTTCAACAATCTCAATCCTCAGCCACCGCCGCAGCTCGGCTCCTCCGTCTATCTCCGGCAACGAGATATCATTGAAAAATTTCACCTTCAAAACAGAGCAATCTCCAGTACCCATCCTCCTCTGTTTTCCTCATCGTTCGATCATCATCAAACTTCCGAGCTAATGCTCCAAGCGGCGGCCGGGACTCCAGCCGCCGCTTTCGCCGCTGCGTTAGCGGCTGGGAGGACGATGAAAAAGAAGAAACTTTACAGAGGAGTGAGGCAGAGACATTGGGGAAAATGGGTTGCGGAGATAAGATTGCCGCAAAACAGAATGAGGGTTTGGTTAGGGACTTACGACACGGCGGAAGCCGCCGCTTACGCTTACGATCGCGCCGCCTACAAGCTCCGTGGAGAATATGCTCGTCTCAATTTCCCGAATCTCAAAGACCCGAGTGAGTTGCTCGGACTCGGAGATTCCTCCAAGCTGATAGCTCTCAAGAACGCCGTCGACGGGAAGATCCAATCCATTTGCCAGAGAGTCAGAAAAGAGAGAGCAAAAAAGAGCGGGAAAGTGAGCAAGAACCCGTCGGCGACGGCGGATTCTTCGTGTTTGTCATCGCCGGAGATTCTTTCGTCGTCTCCGGCGACAACGACTACGACTGCGGTTAATTCAGAGGATAGTTACTGGGTTTCGCCGATGGGTTTGTGTAACAGCGAGATTAGTTCTCCGGCATCGGTTTCGGTTTCCGATGAGATTCCAGCGATGACGACGGCGACGGCGGAGGAAGAGGCAATGATGGGAGTGGACACTGATGGGTTCTTGCTAGCGAGAATGCCATCGTTCGATCCAGAGCTTATTTGGGAAGTTCTTGCCAATTGAACTACGTACACAAAAACTGTGAATTTTGATCAAAATTGCAACAAGAAGAAAATACAAAACTTTGGAATTAGGAAACCTGCATGATGAGAAAATTAGGGTTTTAGGTGTGAATTAAGGGTTTAAACAAAACTTTTGTTAAAATCATTCGAAAGTTGTTAAATAATATAATTAGGGTTTCTTGATTACAATCTAAAGCCTCGTGGTTTTTGAAAGAGGTTGTGAAAGCTCCTTTTTTTTGAATTTCTATATCATCGAAGGACTTTCTTTGTGATTGTACTTAGAACAATTATATGTTACATTTTTCTTTTAATAAAATTGAGATTGTGAGTAAAAGCTTCTAGAGAGATTTAAGTAACACAGGTGTGAGGTGAAGTTAAAGAATACTGTATAAAAAATTAATGATGTGTTTTGTAAGAAGCAATTAAATAAGATTGGTGGGGAAGGTAAGAGAGAAGAGAAGAAGCACATGTCACAGTCTCGACCATATGCCCAATGCTTTTGTAGTGGTCCCTTTTATTCTCTCCTTCCATGTGATTTGTGATTGATTATCAAAGACTATTTGTTTTCTCATTTATATTCACATCCATATTTTACATAAACATTTCTATAACAATGGACCAAACAAATTTTCGTAAACAAAACTGGAACATACTAGCTATTTTACTTATGCTTTCAAAGTAAAATCAGAATTAAGTTTGATCCAACCCACATTAGACCAACTTTGCAAAGAGTGAACCGGAACAATGCCAATGCCAAATCCGTTAAACTTGACATTATTTTGGTGTTTAGTGAAAAAATGAATAAAAAATATTGATTAGTGGTTAATTGTGGTTTGGTGGTACGCATATCCAAATGATCAGGCCGGACCTAAATCTTAAAAAAATAAAGAATAAACCAAATCTTGACATTTTAAAAAAACATGCCAGCAGACGAAAATAACACAACATTTCTATCTCTCTCTATAAATAATATATTATTTTCATTTAAATTATTTTTTCCCCTAAGCATTTGGAAGTTTTAATATTCTATAGCTGCCAGAATTATCAAAAGCAACAACGAAATGAACTAGCTCAACAATTTTCATCTAAACTAACTAAAAAAAAAAATTTATAAAATTCAAAAACAATTTTTTTATGTGGAAGCCCCTTTGGTCCATTGGTTGACCAATGGTTGATTAATGCTTCTACACCAAAAGGTCTGGGGTTCGAGTCCCAGGTATTGCGATTTATTAACAAATTTGCAGATTAATGGAGGCAAGTGTGCAAGAGATCTCCAGCGATGTACAATTATAGCCGTTCGCCAGGATTCTACGCAGAGAAGGAAGTGTCGCCAGGTCGTGGATCATTGAAGATATTCATCAAGATTACGAAGAAGGAAGTGTAGTCTGTCGTGAATCTAGTAAGGGTCAGAAAGAATTGTCAGTTGTAGAAGCGTCTATGTAACAGTTCTCATAATTTGCAATTAATAATAAATCTAGACGACAAAAAAAAAAAACAATTTTTTTTATTTGTTAGGCTAAAGCGATTTCCTTTGTTTTTAATGGCCCATAGTGCAAGGCATTTGGCCTTAAACTGTACATACTATGATTAGTTAGGTTTGTGCCTAAGGCATTAACCCTCCTTAGGTTAATTTGACCAGAGATTGTTCAAATTTTCTACACCGTTTATTATATTTTGTTTGAATCTGATGTAGATAAAGTTTTTATTAAGAAATGGTCACACTAATTTAACTACTTTTCTGAGATAGCCATTAATCCTTGACCACTCTAGTTTTCTCAGTTGGTTTCTGGTAGATTTGTAGGGTTTGCAACAAAAATATAAAAGTAGATTTATAGTAGCGAGGTTATATAGGACACACAGAGACACAACCACCTAAGTGATTTTATTTTTAAGTATTACATCCAAGTACTTAATTTGTATAGTCTCTCTCTTAGAACCGTTACTTTCTTTAGAGCAAGCATATCATATTCAGTCGCTGTCGCTACCGCTGCTGCTTCCACTCTCATTGCCACTGCCATGCCCATCCTTGTTCTTCTTCTTGTGCTCACTTTTCCTCTTATGTTTCTTCTCACCATTGTTGATGAACATTCCAAGGCCATTAAGACCTTTGTTTGTCTCATGAGTTTTCTTCTGGTGCTGCCCTATGAGTTTCCCATGTCCTTGACCTTTATTAGCCTCTTGGCTCTTGTGTTGCCCTAGAAACGTGCCTAGGCCACTCTGACCCTTTTGGCCATTTTGACCCTTGAAGAGCCCATCAAGAAACCCACCGTGGCTACGGTGGTTCAAAGTCGGGCTTTGCCCATATACTGGGCGACTCTGGCTCTGGCTATATTCCTCACGGTTCTGGATCTGGCCATATCCCCCACGGGTCTGGCTCTGGCCATATCCCTCGTGTCCCTGGCTCTGGCCATAACCATTACGTTGGCCTTGTGCCACCTCGTAGTAGTCTTTCTCACGGTTTTCGTAGTACTGCATGTTTAAAAGAAGATGTGAGTTTTATGGTTTGTATTTATGTTGTGTGTGGATTTTGGTATGAGCTTTAGATGTCTATATATACTATATTGAGCTTTTCGTAAGAGTTGCTGAAACCAAATAGGCTCCATTTGTTAGTGTCTGTCTTTATCTTGAAATTGTTCTTTAGTTTAAACTAAAGTTAGCTAACATTGAATCAATTCGAATGGCATTTTCTTTTTACCTATTTGGATGTCAATCTCAGAATTGGTTCTCAGTTATAGGTGTCCAAGATTCAGATTCTTTGATTCATATTGATCATTGCAATCTAGAAGACTATAACGTGTGGAATTGTTACACTGTTCTCATCTTTTATAGTATTGTAAATTATTCTGCTTTTATTTTTAAACTAATTTGTTCACAATAATATAGAAGTAGTTAGAGTTATGTAACATTCTTCTCATTCCATAGTTGCATAGTTGCTTTGTATAAAACCGCATGAAACCAATGAGACTATAATCATTGATATGTTCATGCGGCATCATCCATCCTTGGATTCTTATTTATGACATTCAGACATAATACATAAGTTATATGGGCATTATTTAACTAATGAGCTTGCATATCTTCATTTCTCACTTTTACGTTGCCAAGCCCATCTGAAAAAACATAACGGAAAAAAAATAAATGACGTAATTCATGATTTTCAAGAATCTTAATCTTGATTATAGAATTCGAACCTCTTACATGATCAGTTATTAGAGAAATGTTTGCGGCTGTAGCTATTGGTGGGACCAGTTTCCTTGGTGGTGAGGTTAGAACGGGCTTTGCCAGAATAAAAAGGTTCGTCCCAGTCTGAGTCGCTGCGGGCAACGAATTCAGTGTAACCGCCAGCCGTCATGGGGGTTCCTTCGTTGTCTGAGTCAGAGTCCGACTTCTCGTGTGTCATTTGACGGCCCATTTCGGTTGGTTTCTTCTCTACTTTTCTAAACGACATCGATTCACCTACAAAGTTTTGTTTTTCTCTTATTTTTTTGTTTAGCTAAAATGTATTGCCTTGGTGAATTCGAGAGTTAAGGTTCCATATTTATAGATGAAGTTGCATGTTGTATGAACTTATCATAAGTTTGCACATTGTTTGGATTCCTCAAGCTTTTGTTACATCATTTTATGAATTAGATTCATTTCAAGTGGATGAGATTTACGTTCTTCACCTTTTGTGTTTTGACTATATATATTACTATCATTATAGGGGAAAATATAGTATAGATAAGTATATATGTTACAACAAAAATTCGCTTAGAAAACGATTTTTTTTGTGTATGTGGTACATGTAAATTCGATATGTGGTAGAATGTAGTTAAAGTCGGGATGACCACCACATTCTACCAAATATATGTCTTTTTTGTGATTTGTATACTTGGACCAAAGAAATGTTCAAAGTTTTTTGTATCATAGGTTTGAGTGTGGAATGAACTGGTTTCCAAGTTTAATGCAACTTTTTTTTTCTAGTATGAAAAAATCTATGGTATCAGTCGTTGATGATCCTCTTCTACCATTCTCTCCATAATATGAGAATTCCATTCCCAATATGGTTTTGGCCTCAACAAGCTCAGATCATATCTACCATTCTCTTGTAATCTCTCTGTTCGTTATCTAGGCTTCTGCTATCCTTCACCAAACTTGACAAAGCAGATTAAAGTTTTTTTTGCCAACTTCTATCAATAATAATGGCACAAAAAAGTTTTCTTACTATGCGTTAAATGCTAGTTATTGCAAAAGAACCTCAAGCTTTTTCTTCCATCAAGCTTTGAACAAGATTCCAATAGTAACTACTCAATGCCATTCTCAATCGGATTTATACCTCCACAAAATGTTACTTTAGCATATTAAGACAAAAAACCAAATAAGAACCAAACGCATCTAAACTAGCGTTGAACTCACGCGTTCAAAATCAGAATTATATGCCCATTGAGTTGTATAATATACAAGCTGATTAAAGAGGAAGTGACTTCGAAAACTACATATTTACATTTGCTTTACTAGACTGAAGATTTCTCTTGTTCTTGAGTTGTTGAAGCTTCTTCATCATTACCAAGTTTATCATCATCATCTTCAGACTTCCTCAGAGCTTGTCTAAGACCCAACACGATAAACAAATTGGTAAGAGCAAGAAGTGATTCAGCTCCTCCATGTAACCAATCAACATTCGACAACGATGTTCCATAATGCACCTTAGCTGAAATTCATTCATTATCATTTATCAAAACCCATATAATCAATTTTCAAGAACCATTAAAAAATTTAAGGGGGTGTTATTGGTTTATTAATTTGTAAATCCATATAGGATTTGGAAATTTCTATTAATTATGAAATCAAGATATATAGATTTTGAAATAACATGTGTTTACCCATGGATTTGAATCCTTCTATTTTTCTCTTTCAATTCCATACAAATCCATTTAAAACATAATTTGGATTCTCAAATCCAAAAACAAATGACAAAACGAATAACATAGGATTTTAACTAGTATTTATAAATCATGGAACTAATAACACATGATTTTAATTAGGATTTTAAAATCAATGATTGAATAACAAATGATTTTTGTTTGGATTTCTAATTCCTTATAAATCAATGAACCAATAACCCCTCCTTAAATCAAGGAGAAGATTAATGTTTTAAAATCAAGAAAAGTACCATAAATCCCAGCAGGAACTGCATTCCATCAAATCACCAAAGCCAGGAAAAAAAAAACAGAGGAAGGATTAAGATCGCTAATAAAAAAACAGAGCATGCGTTTACGATTTGGCCGCAAACGCTGAAAACAGAGTACTTACTTGTAGCTCCAACGAAGGCAAGCAAGAAGTAGAAACCAAAAAGTGTGAGTTTTGGAGCTGATTTGGATTTAGTGAGGAAATAGAGAAAGCCAATGTAAGGAAACAGAGACACAGCGAAGAGTTGTGATGCTATGCTCTGTGAATCAATGGTTGGAGCCCATGGATCCACCGGAAACATCCCTCCTGCGTTACACACGATTGATACTCTCAAATCATCTCTTCTTGCTTTCTTCTCTTTCGTATCGGTGAAGTGCAAGAAGAAGCTTTTGTTTCTAGAGATTGAGACAGTAGACTGAGAAAGCCCCCGAGTGGTGAACGGAGATGAGCCCACAAATCTAACGGCTGAGATTAGCGTCGGGGAGTTAGAATTTATCAGAATCATGTCTCTCTGTTACTCTCACGGTGAGAGAGAAGGAAAACGTTGGTGGATAAGAGGAGAGAAAGAAAAAGAAGATAGAGGAAAAAACTTCGTGCCGTTTAGATCTGCGTAAACTACATATGTGTCGTATTTTTAGGAAAAAAGCCAATGTCAGACTAAACCGGGTTGAACCAAACTTAAGCTTTAGATAGAGAGTCTCTCAAAAGTCAAAAGTCATTTAAAACATGATTGTATGACTTGCCACCTAAATCTATGTATTAGAATAATAGGTCTGAACATGTTTCGGCCCCTTGAGAATCTCTGGCGCCATTTAATCACCGGTCATAGAGTTTTTGTCAGTGGGACGAGAGAAAATGACTGACTAGATGAGAAAAGAAAGGAAGACCAAAATTACATAAAACTTATAGACTAGTCTTTAAAGTCAGAAACAAAACTGAGCAACACTATCAAATAATGTCCGGGAAATGAAACGAAAATGTTTTCGGACATAGGGGTGATGGGGACCTAGGAGGGAACTGGTTCAAGCGTGGCCTGCTCGTGCCATTCTCCATTTAACTTTGACTGCCACAATTTGACCATTCCATCACTTCCAGTGCTAGCTAAAGTCATGCCACTCATGTCCCATTCCATCTGCCAAACCTGACCAGGAAACACCAAACTAGTGTAACTTAGTTATGTTTTATGCCAAATTGCCAATCAAACCCTATAGTTAAGTTCTCAGCAACTCCAACAAACACCGAAGAATCAGAAGAGATATGAAAGGTAAAGAGCAGTGGAATTTGATACCTCGCCTTGATGGCCAGAAAGCGAGGAGACCTTCTTTACTGGAAGCCTTCCTTCAAGATCAGGAGCTAGACCAACATGCCATATTCCTATGCCTTTATGAGTTGCAACAGCAACAACCTCGTATGGTCTGTAGTGAAAGATATACAAAAAGAGGATTAGTTTGAGTGTCTCAAGACAGCAACAACCTCGTATGGCCTGTACTCAACCAAGATTGTTTGAATTACCGGCCAATATTTGGAGCCCATGACAAAGCATAAACTGGATCACCTTTGTCTTCTGGTAAGGCTAATTCTGCTACTGCCAACCATCTGTTATGAGCTTCATCAAACTCCCATATCTAAAACAACAAAATAAATGGTGATTCCTTCTATTCGATTCCCAGTTCAAAGAAAGTGAAATAAAAGTCTCAGTTCAAAATATACCTTGGAAGAGTTAAGATGTGGAGAGTCAGAGTTGAAGGCTAAAACAAAGCTTGGTTCTTGCTCTTCGCCTTTCATCGGATTCCAAGAAACAGATGCAGATAAGCTTGAAGGTTTACCGAGCATCGATAGAGAATCGATCACATTCTGAAACTCGGCCTACACAGAATGGTGAGAAATAAGACAAGAGTAGAGATGTTCAAGAAATCGATAGAAACAACAAGCCACCTGAAGTTGCCAATTCTTTAGTTCCAAAGGATTCAACAGCTCAAAAACCCTAAGGTAACCATCAGAATATGCTGCAACCTACAAAAATAATCAATGAATCATTCAAAAACCAAACCAATCAAAACAAAAAACAGACTCTCTCACCATCTTTAGACTCTTTCTGGAAACTCCAAATTGAACATCGAGCACTTGGCTAGACTTGTTCTTTATACTCTTACACAATTTCCACTCAAGAGCATGTGAGTCTACCAAAAACAAAACAACTCTATAAGATAAACAGTTTTCAAACAATGGACTTAGCAACGAATCCATGGAGATTTTTTCACAGTGAGTTTACCTTCAGAGAGCTCCTCCCAAGTTGATAAGCTCCCATCTTCGCAAATGCAGGCTACTGCATCGCCGTACTCTGAAGGCAACCAAACGATCTTTACGATACTCGATTCACTAACCCTAACTTTGGAAGTGCAAGTGAAAGTCGAAGAAGACGAAGTAGAGGAGTCGTATACGGAAAAGCTTCCGTCGAGGGATCCGGTGGCTAATCGGCGGCCGGAGTGATTCCAGGAGGAACATGTGGTGCCAGAATCTAGCGTCGCCATTGATTTCGCCATTTTCTCGTGCACACTGAGAATCTTCGGTGGTTAGGCGATTTTTTCGATTCGATTTCTAATTCGAGATTGGGCCTTTTTTTTGGGTGCAAAATTCGAAATTGGGCCTATTACGCATTTAATTGGCCCATTTATGCAATCGACAAATCGCATATGTTGAAATTGTTTATTCCGTTGTTGTTACGGTTACTAAAACTGTTATCACATTTGTTGTTAGCCGATACAAAACGTAATTTTTTAATTTTTTAAAAAAGCTTTTTTAAATCTTAAATATTAATAAAGAAAATTTTGATAAAGCTTAAGATTATAGATATTTTTGACCTTCTATAAAATTTATAATATTTGAAAAGATACTATAAAGTTTAAATTGGTAATATGATCATTGCATAAAAATATTAAATAGGAGACATTTTTTACAAAAGATACTCATAAATTGAGATTTTTATATTGTCTTATTAGTTAGATCCTTGAATATTTGTTTTGATTACATGCAAACGAGAAAATAATACATATTTGGATTTGTATATCCAAAATGTGTGTAATTCAACATTTGTACAAATATATGAAAAAGAGGAGTTGTCACTTAGATCCCGATGTCATAGAGACGGAGCAGCAAAAATCTTGCACCATTCTCTTTGCTAATATTGTCATAGAAGTATCACCAAATCATTGCAAATTTAAGTTCTAACAAAGAGTGATACAACATTCGGTTATTAGGATTTAATGTATATTTGAGTATTATGTTTTACTTCTTGGATTCATAGAACCTAAGAGGAATATATATGGTAAAAGTGCTTAAGGTTAATCGTGTCATTCATATGTTTACGGGTTGAAGCAGCTGTTGATGAAGTAGCTATGGACGAAGCATCAATTTCAATTTTATCATGCAAGAGTTGGCCAAATATGAGAGTGCGGAAAGAGAAGTTCAAAGACTGCAATGGATAATCATGGAGAATGAGTCAAATGACGAAAAGGAAATACTGAAATCTCACTTTGAGGTTGTGAAAGCGAATGTGAAAGCTTTTGTGAGAGAGATGTTGCAAGCATCTGACAAGGAAAGGGCTCTAGAAGTTGTGAAGAAAGTGAGGAGGACTTCAGAGGAGTACCTATGGACGAAGCATCAATTTCAGTTTCTGAATCCATCATGCAACAGTTGGCCAAATATGAGAGTGCGGAAAGAGGTTTCAGAGACTGCAATGGATACTTATGGAGAATGAGTCCAATTGTTGCATGATGAGTTTAAATTGGTAATATGACCATTGCATAAAAATATTAAATCATAGACAATTTTTAACAAAAGATACACATAAAATTGAGATTTTTATTGTCTTCTTATTTAGACTCTTGGATATTTGTTTTGATTACATGGAAACGAAAAAAATAATACATGTTTGGACTTGTATATCCAAAATGTGTGTAGTTCAACATTTGTACAAATATATGAAAAGATGATTGGCGCTTAGATCCTGATGTCATAGAGACGGAACAGGACAAATCTTGCACCATTCTCTTTGCTAATATTGTCTTAGTAGTAGCACCAAATCATTGCAAATTTAAGTTCTAACAAAGAGTGATACAACATTCAGTTATTATGGTTTAATGTATATTCGAGTATTATGTTTTACTTCTTGGATTCATAGAACCAAATAACAAGTAAGAGATACATTAATACCTAATCAAAAAATGCATAACCGCAAAGAGATACAAAAACTCAATGAGTGGTATAACATTCCCAAGCCTTAAGGTTTTCTACTAATCTAAAATAGATTTTCGTGATATAAAAGTTGTAGATACATATAAAATATGTATTATATACAAGAAGAGTCTTAAATAGCCATACAATATTCTATCACTTTCTAATATATAAGTCTATATTTGTTTCAAGGCTAATCGACGATTTATTTCTCTAACTCCAATAAACTCGTCAAGAGGCTCGGAAACATAGTTGATGACACTATTTCGATGACGCTGATCAAAAGAAAAATTTGAATGTGGGGTTTGATTGGTAGGATCTGTCCATTTATTAATTTCAGAGCTTTAAAACTAAACAATTATGCTTTACAATATTTTTTAAAAGCTATAGCTAAGAAAAAAAGTTCTTTGAAAATATTGCTTTTCCTTTAAAAATATTTATAAATATTATTCAGAATTTTTTTTAAATATAAATATTATTCAAACAAAGCAGAAATAAATAACTAGAAAAAAGGCTGTCCAAAAAAAAATTGAAAGGCGTTTGCCAGCCACGTTAAAAAACGTAGTAATCGCGTCATCATTTCGGAAAAATGGGTAAAAAAATCCTCACATTTCTTAAAAACATAGAAAAAACCCTCAATTTTTTTTGTGGGTTTTTAAACCCTCACTTTTTTAGAAATGGTTAAATAAACCCTAATATTAATAAACTTAATTTAATTTTTTTTAAAATCATTATATTAAAATAGTAAGAAACAAAAATAATTTAATTTATGATTTTTTATTTCAAATTTGAGTTTACGATTTTTTTCTAAAATTAGGGTTTTTACGCTATGAACATTTATACACCATTTAGTTGAGATTAGACAAATTATTTTTGTTACAATTAGAAGTTATGTTATATAAACTACAAAATTTTATAGGATATCACATTTGATTTTTTTTTTGTTCGAGTGTTCAGGTTTTGGATAAAAATATAGTTAAATAATGAATTTTAATATATCGTAATATATATATATATATAGAAATATTAATTGTTAGTAAATCTTATTTAGTTTGTCCAATGAAAATATTTTGATGTGGAAATTCATGTACTTTTCGTAGTATTATAAAATTTGGTTTGGTTTTATGTTAGTAAATTTGTGTGATCAAACCTAATAAACCTTTACTAATAAAAACTCATATTCGGTTTCGATATAAGAATTTACATATAATTCGTAATAAAATCAGTTTGGTTTCACGTTAATGAATTTTTGTAACACACCGAATAAAACTTCACTAGTTAACTTTTTTACATCATGACTTACATATTTTCAATTTAGAAAAATATTGTAAACTAGAATTTTAGAAAAAATATCCTAAATCAAATTGTTTCTATTTATTTATGTTTTAGTATAACTATTTTTTTGAATTTAAATTAAGTTTATTAATACTAGGGTTTATTTTACCATTTATGAAAATGTGTGAGTTTAAAAACCCACAAAAAAAAATTGAGAATTTTTTCTATGTTTTTAAGAAAGGTGATAGTTTTTTTACCCATTTTTCCCATCATTTCTATTGCCAATTTGCGAGCCACTTTTTTATTACTTTTTAATTTTTACATTTTTATCTTTGGTGAATTCTCACTTTTACATAATAGTCTCCAACGGAAAGACGACGGAGGACGGTGCCCTTAAACCTGTGTATCAGGCTCAGTTCCGACCGCCACAACGCCGATCACTCTCAAATTCTCTCTGGTACTTTAACACTCGACCAACGATGAATTCGGCAGAACAAATCAATCCGACCAAACCGGAGAGGTAATTTTTACCTTAATTTGAGAAATTCCGCACAAAAGGTGAGTTTTGAGTAATTAATTAGTGGATGCAGGAGCACAAAGTTAGTGTCTTTCCCCTCCGATTTGATGATTCTGGCCAATAAAGCGGCGGAGGAGGATGAGTCGTTACAAAGTAAGAAAGCAACATTTTTTATTATGACTCAGAAGAAAACTTTGTTCCTAGTTATTGAAATGGCTATGTAGAGTTACATAATTGCAATATATTTTTAAAGCTTGATCCATGATCTGATAGAGATTCAATTTTGCAGATGAACAAGCTGGGACTCAGGGAAAGCGAGAGCTTATGATGCAACGAAAAGCTAAATCAACAACAGCAGCAAAATTTCTTAAAGAAGCTAAATTGAACAAAGGTCTTGAATTGTACCAAATTTATAAGAGGAAGAAAAGAGTCAACGAGTCTGGTCTTGGAGGTTGCACTAGGTTTCTTAGGAACAACAACTTGTCTCCTACTCTTCAACATTTGTCTTTTGGAGATTTAGTGGTTCTGGCGAATGCAGCATCGATTGATGGTGCCCGAGAAGTGTCTAAGGACGTGGTGGTGGAAGCGGCAGAAGAGTATTTCCCGGAGAGAGTTGAGGAAGGTACCTGTAAGAGGAGAGCCAGATTGTTGTTGCATTGTGGTTTATTATAGATATATGCGATTGGTATGTCAAACTTTGGTCTAAAGTAAAGACATTTGAGATGATGAAATTGCAGGTAAGCAGAGAGAATCTGGCGACATGGACTGTGGAGGAAGTTGCTTTGTGTTATCTGAGGAGCTGCTGAAAAACCGAGAGTTGATGCTACAAAAGGGTGAAGCAGCACCAGTGAAGGTTGTTGAAGAAGTTAAACCAAAGAGCGATCCTTCTGATGGTTTTCGTGATGACAAATTGTTTAAGAAGAAGTATGTCCGGAGGACAAGAGTGAAGAACAAGGAGCAGCTGGAATCGACATCAGTTGGAGCGGTTGCTGGAACTTGTAATCTTGTCAAGAAGTTGTGCGCACTCAAACCGTCAAGCCTCTTAACTAATGTGGATGCAGCAGAGAGAGAAGAAGGGCTGTTGTACAACAATGGTGAAACTCAATCAAAATCTGAACAAGGTCCTTGCAGCGGAGTTAACAACAAGACGAAGAGCGGAGATGAGACAGAAGGAAACGCAGCTGCAGTTTCCGGGGAAAAGCAGTCTGTTTGTCTTTATTCAGCATGGGAACGAGAATATCCCAAGAGAAAACGCAGTCTACTGATAAGAAAACCCAAGGAACCGAAGAAGACATTGGGTAAGAGCAGAGAAGGAAAGGAACAAGTTTGTGACCAAATCGACATTTCTGAACAAGAAGCTGAGACAGAGGAGGAAGGGGATGTTTCTGATGCATCTAACTCTTCTAGTCGCAACTTGTGTAGTAGTTTCATCTTCAATGTTCAATGGAGCAACAAGAGGAAGAGAAATTGCATGAAACTAGAGGAAGCACAGAGCAACCGCGCAATCCTTCTTATTGCTGTTGAAGCAATCACCAATCATTTGGGTCTCTTAGACATTAGCATTTAGGAGAAGAGCTCTTAGCATAGTCTTCTTATTTTGTATCTACTCTTAGCACTGTAGACTACTTTTGTATCTAGTCTTAGTACCGTAGAGACTAGTTAAGAGATAATATAATATAATCTTTTGATGTAAATCAAATCTGATTTATATGACTGAAAATTAACCATAATGTTATAGAACTTGTTGTTCTTATTGATTAATGAATAGGGTTTCGATACATATTTATACATGATGAGGGGAGACAAATCCCCATTGGGCTAGTAAACCCTAAAGCCCAAAAGCCCACTAAGATAAGATAGACCGTCATAAGGAGAATCATCTAGAATATGGACATGGGCCTTCTAGAATATGGATTAGGCCCAACGGTTATGGAGTCCATCCGACCATGCGGTCTACAACACTCCCCCTTGGATGACATAACCGTGTAGATGCCAAAAGGATCTCAGTAATACGCTCGGGGATGCTGCCTCATTAAAACCTTACCAGGAAAACCCATTGGGATAAAACCATGGTTAAGGAAAAAGAGTACAGCACGTATTACTCCCCCTGTTTTGGTCATCCCTGCAAGTCCTTAAGTCTCCGCATTCCAATTTGATGCGTGAGCTTCCTTAATGTCGATGTTGGTAGCGCCTTGGTGAAGAGATCGGCTGAGTTGTCGCTGGATCGAACTTGTACCACTCGAACTTCTCCATCCCTTTGCAAGTCATGCGTGAAGAAGAACTTTGTTAGAATGTGCTTCGTCCGATCTCCCTTGATGTAGCCGTCTTTGAGCTGAGCGATGCAGGCCGCATTGTCCTCGTACATGATCGTTGGTTCCTTCTCTCCGTCCATGCCACAACTGGATCGTATGTGTTGAGTCATCGACCGCAACCACACACACTCACGGCTGGCCTCGTGTATCGCTAAGATCTCCGCGTGATTGGATGAAGTGGCTGAGATGGTTTGCTTCATTGAACGCCATGAAATCGCGGTTCCTCCGTGTGTGAATACATAACCTGTTTGTGACTTACCATTATGCGGATCTGATTGATAACCTGCATCAGCAAAACCAACTAAACCTTCTTTGTTATGGTTAGCATAAAATAGACCCAAATCAACAGTTCCTTGTAAATAACGTAAAAGATGCTTAATCCCGTTCCAGTGCCTTTGGGTCGGACATGAGCTAAATCTCGATAGGAGGTTCACGGCAAAACAAATGTCTGGTCTAGTGTGGCTAGCCAAGTACATTAACGCTCCTATGACACTGAGGTATGGCACTTCAGGACCGAGAACTTCTTCCTCATCCTTCTTTGGACCGAATGGATCACTATCCAATCCGAGGCTTCTCACCACCATTGGGCTGCTCAATGGGTGGGCCTGGTCCATATTGAATCTCTTGAGTACTTTTTCAGTATATGCCTTTTGATGCACAAGGATTCCATTATTCACGTACTCAAGTTGCAATCCCAAACAGAATTTTGTCTTGCCTAGGTCTTTCATCTCAAATTCTTTCTTTAGATATTCGACTGTTTGGGCGATTTCCCCAGAGGTTCCAAGGATGTTTAAATCATCCACATATACTGCTATTATCACAAACCCTTTGTTTGCGAATTTCTTTATGAAGATACATGGACTGATGGGATCATTTTTATAACCTTCTCTGACTAGGTAATCGCTTAGTCTATTGTACCACATGCGCCCACTTTGTTTCAGTCCATAAAGCGATTTGTTCAGCCTTATGCAGTATTGGTCTCGAGACCCTTTCTTATCTTTATCTTTGAGCTCAATGCCCTCTGGTAATCTCATATATATTTCGTTATCCAGTGGACCATATAGATAAGCGGTCACAACATCCATTAACCGCAAATCAAGATTTTCTTTTATTGCCAGACTTATTAAGAATCTAAAGGTCGTTGCATCCACCACAGGGGAGTATGTTTCTTCATAATCTATCCCCGGTCTTTGCGAGAATCCTTGTGCTACAAGCCGTGCCTTATGTCTCACGATTTCATTATTATCATTTCTCTTCCTTACAAAGACCCATTTGTGTCCTACTGGTTTTATCTCAGATGGTGTCCTTAATATCGGACCAAACACATCTCTTCTCTTTAATGAACTTAATTCCACGTTTATGGCTTCTTTCCATTTTAGCCAATCTGATCTTTGAGTGCACTCTAATATAGACGTGGGTTCATGATCCTCATTTATTTCAATTGCTACCTTATATGCAAATATTTCATCGATGTCGACATCTTTGCGGTTCCATTTTATTCCAGACATGATATAATTTATTGATTTCTCATTATCATCTATCCCTTCAGGACCATGAGGATTGGCGTCCCAAATCTCTCTATTCGGTTCCTTAGGGTCTGCCGCGGCCATGTCTATGGTTTCCTTCACCTCGTTTCCTACTGCACCTTTCTTTGATTTTCGAGGATTTTTATCTTTGGAACCTATTGGTCTACCACGTTTCTTACGTGCGTTAGACTCTGTAGCAATTTCATTGATTCCCTTTTGGATATCAATACGTACTGGTGCATTACAAGCTGGTATGTACGATTTTGTAACTTTCTTTGGGTCAACAAAGGAATCTGGCAATTCATTAGCTAGCTTTTGCAAATATATTATTTTCTGGACCTCTGATTCACATGCCAGAGTCCGAGGATCTTGCCAATTCAAGGATGTTTGATTCCATGATATTTCTTTAACCAGCTTGTTCGTCTCTCCACCTAAAGTAGGAAATTCGGATTCATTAAATTGATAATCCGCGTATCTAGCCTTAAATAGGTCACCCGTAGTTGGCTCTAGATACTTAATAATGGTGGGAGAATCAAATCCAACATATATTCCCATCCTCCTTTGAGGTCCCATCTTTGTTCTATGTGGTGGAGCAATCGGTACATATACGGCACACCCGAAAGTCTTTAGATGGGATATGTCTGGCTCATGACCCATGAGTAATTGGGATGGTGAATATCTATGTTCACTAGATGGCCTTATGCGTATAAGTTCTGATGCATGTAAAACAGCGTGTCCCCAAGCGGCTACTGGAAGCTTCGACCTCATGAGTAATGGTCGAGCTATCAATTGAATTCGTTTAATGAAGGATTCCGCTAATCCATTCTGTGTATGTACATGTGCTACGGAATGTTCCACACTTACCCCCATGGACATACAGTAGTCATTAAACGCTTGGGACGTGAATTCACCGGCATTGTCTAGACGTATAGTCTTAAGCGGAAAATCTGGAAAGTGGGCTCGCAGTCTTATTATCTGGGCCAATAACCTAGCAAACGCTTGGTTTCTAGTAGATAGGAGACAAACATGCGACCATCTTGTCGATGCGTCAATGAGGACCATAAAATATCTAAACGTCCCACATGGTGGGTGTATTGGTCCACATATATCCCCTTGTATCCTTTCCAGAAAATTTAAGGTCTCTTTATTTACCTTAGCCGGTGATGGCCTTATAGTGAGTTTCCCTTGTGAACATGCTTCACACGTGAGATTCTTAGGGATAACTCGTTTCTCTTTTAGGGTGTGCCCCTTTGAATTAGTTATTAGTTTACGCATCATACAATGACCCGGATGGCCAAGCCGGTCATGCCATAAAGTGAATTTCTCGATGAACTCTTTGTTCATTGCCATATTAGCTTCGATCATATTGATTTTAGCATAGTAGAGACCAGTGGATAATGCGGGTATAGTCTCTAGGACTTTCTTATGTCCTTGGGTGATCTCAATTATATTTAGGAATTCTTTGTTCCCTTCACCCTTTGTTTCAATATGGAAACCATTTAATCTTATATCTTTGAAACTTAACAAGCTCCTCTTTGAGCTGGGTGAATATAGGGCATCGCTTATTTCAAGATGCGTGCCCTTTGATAAAAGGATATGGGCTTGACCGTGGCCCTCAATGAGACTAGCTATACCCGCTATGGTGCTAATATTGGCATTTTTCAATGTTAGATTTATAAAGTATCTTTTGTCTTTTAAAATTGTGTGGCTCGATCCACTATCCACCACAAGTATATTCTTGTCATCGGCCATTTCTAATATTGACAAGAAAATATGTCTCAGATAATAAAGCAAACGATTATATTAAAAGCAAATTAAACTTAAATTTAAATCCAAGACATAATAGTATTCAAAACATAGAATAGAATTCAAAGACATAGAGCATGAAAACATAAAGCAAAACAAAGCAAATTAAAACACAAGATGTCGAATTTAATTTTCCTCTCTTAAGCAATCCGAAGTCTCATACTCCAATTGGTCATCGTTCTCATGGTCGAAATCTCCATCACCATCGAGATGAGCCAAATTGGCTTCGGGATTCTTCTTTATCATTTCTTGATAAGCATCGATTAGATGTTTAGATGTCCTGCACGTCTTAGCCCAATGATTGTCCATTCCGCATCTATGGCAAACGGATTTGACCTTGTGTTGCGGTTTGAAAATTCCGCGGCCACGACCTCGACCATTGTTCCCACGGCCTCTACCACCATGGTGGTTTCCTCGGCCGTAGGAGTTATGGTTGCTGCGACCACCACCACGTCCTCTACCACGGCCACGACCGTGATACCCTCTATGGACGTAGTTGGTTTCTTTGGTCTCTCGAGGTTCTTTGGCTATTTCGGCCTTATGGGCTTCCGGCAACGGTGTGGATCCTGGAGGTCTCATCGAGCTATTCATTAGTAATAGCTCATTATTCTTTTCAGCAAGGAGTAAGCAGGAGATCAAACTTGCATATGTTTTGAATTTCATTCCACGGTATTGTTGCTGAAGTACCACGTTATTAGGGTGGAATGTTGAGTATGTTTTCTCAAGCAAGTTATTATCAGTCACCGTTTCACCACATAGCCTCAGGATTGAGACAATCTTAAAAAGCTCGGAGTTATACTCCTCCACGGATTTGAAATCCTGGATCCTGAGGTTTTTCCAATCATATTGGGCTCTCGGTAAGAGTACCGTCTTTTGGTGATCGTATCGATTTTTCAACTCGATCCAAAGATCGAGAGGATCCTCGATAGTAAGGTACTGATTCTTAAGGCTCTCTGCTAGGTGATGGCGTATAAACGCAATCGCCTTAAACTTCGACCTCTTCTCACACTCATTGTTTTCCATAATGCACTCGGCGAGATCTTTGGATTCAAGGGCTATCTTAATGTCCAATGCCCATTGTAAGTAGTTGTCGCCGGAAACGTTGAGTGCAGAAAACTCGAGGTTCTTTGTTTTCGACATCTACAAGCAAAAGAAGATTGAGTCAAAATCATGTAATCGTTAATGTCATGTGGTATTAAAAACCAAACATGAATCGATTTACTTAAGGATTTGACTTTCCTCATAGGGTTAAATTTCCTTTTCTAAATATTTCCTAATTTGATTAGGATTTTAGGGTTTTAAGATTTCCTATTTTTATTTAATATTTTTAGGGTTTAGGATTTCCTATTTTATTTAAGATTTTAGGATTTCTTATTATTCCTAGGATTTAGGGTTTTAAAGATTTCCTATTATCCCTAAGATTTAGGATTTTAAAGATTTCCTATTATCTAGGGTTTCCTATTTAGGGTTTTAAGGGTTTCCTAGATTTTAGGGTTTTAAAGATTTCTTTTAGGATTATCTTTTCTAGGTTTTCTAGGGTTCATGCAATTTTAGTTTTAGGGTGATAAGCATGTAATCAATCAAAGGAGCAAACAATCTAACAACCTAAACAATCTCAATCAAGCCGTTTAAACATATGGAATTTTCGGATTAGGTTCGTTTTAGTTTTAGGTTTTTTTAGATCTTTAAAGTTTCGGATTAGCTTATGAATTTTCGTTTTGCGATTTAAGGTTTATACAATAAAACTTCTCTAGCAACTTAGGCGAGTTTAGTTTAAGCAATAATCAACCTTTCTCTAGCAACCTAAACGATTCAAACAAACGGATCTTACAAGCAATAGGATTACTTTAAACATTCAAGGTTCGTTTTAGGTTTCCACCGTTCGTTAGATTCAAGTTCATGATCAGTTTTCAATAGCAATCACTTGAACAATCAAGACTCGTTTTAGTGTCTTAGCCGTTTGTTAATTTCAAGTTCATGATCGGTTTTCACAATAAAAAAACAATCACTTAAGCAATCAAGATTCGTTTTAGATTCCCACCGTTTGTTAGGTTCAAATTCAAGATCGGTTCTTTACAAGCAAAAGGAATCGTTTATACAATACAGATTCGTTTTAGGTTTCCACCGTTTGTTAGATTCAAATTCAAGATCGGTTCTTTAGCTTTTAGGGTTTTGGTTTTTACCTTTCACCTTTTGGGGGTTGTATGGATTAGAACCGGGAGCTAAAGACCTCGGTTATCAAGCTTATCACGAACGTGGGGTGCTAGGAGGAGATCGCCGATCAAGGAGCAAAGCGAGTAGTCGGCGGTTTGGTAGCTTCAAGCGGTGGACGAGCTCGGCGAATTTAGGTTTAGGGTTTTTAGGGTTTTGTTAAGAGCAACTCGTGCTGATAACGTGTTATAGAACTTGTTGTTCTTATTGATTAATGAATAGGGTTTCGATACATATTTATACATGATGAGGGGAGACAAATCCCCATTGGGCTAGTAAACCCTAAAGCCCAAAAGCCCACTAAGATAAGATAGACCGTCATAAGGAGAATCATCTAGAATATGGACATGGGCCTTCTAGAATATGGATTAGGCCCAACGGTTATGGAGTCCATCCGACCATGCGGTCTACAACACATAATAGCAATATTTTTGGAAGCCATAATAGTTATTTTTTATTTTTTTTTATTTTTTTTTATTTTTTGACATCTTTGGATCGACAAGGCCCGATCCATAGCCAATCCATACTACTCGGGGTAACGCGACTTAGTGGAGTCGACCTCCGGTGGGGAAGGCGGAGTCAAGTGGACTTAACCACTTGACTAAAGGCACATCCCCGCCATAATAGTTATTTATTTAAAGGCTATTTTAATCTATACACTAATATCTTCATATTAATATTTGGTGACTTAACTACGGTATAGTATTATTTATAGTCATATAAAAATAATTAAGAACATGATATACCAACAAGCCGACTCAGCGGGATTCGCTCGGACGTTGTTTTTCTAACAAGCGAGTTGATCTCTGAGCCAACCATCTCTGTTGACTCTCCTGACTCGGGGATCGTCGTAAGCGAGCCCGTCTTATCGAAAACAACGTAGTATTTGTCCATGTCTACTTCGTCGTGACCTGCCTTAAACGAAGCATTTGATTGTTTCTGTCTCAACATTGACTTAATGAGTTTCCCCAGAGAACGTGAGATCTTCTTGGTAGGGGATTGTTGTTTCTTGGTTAAAGAAGACGTTGTTTCTGACGGTGGAGGAGGAGTAGGAGAGAGGTGTGGCATGGACATGGATCTAGCTGAGGAGGAGATGGCTGAGTCGAGTTGGCGATTGAAAGAGTTGAGCTCGAACGAGTCATAGAGTGTACTTTCGCAATCCCACACCTTCTTCTTCTTCATCTTATCAAGATTGGTACTCTCTTCTGTGTTTTGTTTCGGATTCATGATCACCATCTTGTTCTTTGGGTGATTTTCCATCTTTTTAGTGTTTTCTGATCTTTGTATCGAGTTTTTGTCTGTAGAAATAAAAATATAAACTCAATATGAGATAAATAGTGATGCATTAATTCATCAAGACGGTTCATAAAAAAAAAGATATAAATAGAAAATTCCGTGGGTGCACAAAAAAAAAAAAAAAAAAAGAAAATTCCGTTTTCCATATTTTAAAAAAAGTTCATGGATGGATGAATGAAAATAAAAGTATAACAAACCCAATAATATGATGATATAGCAAACATAATAATTTGGAACTACTAGTTATGACCTTATAAGGATATCAATGATCAAAACCTGATAACTCACAATTTCCAATCTTGATTTTCATAATATATGATGATGATGTCAAGCTCTTAGAAGATTGATCATCTCTTGTCGTCTTAGCTTTTCTTAAACCCTCAGTGATTTTGATATGCCCTTTAATCATCATATCATCCTTATTTGTCTTCTCCTCACCATCCGCTTTTGTTGCCATCTTCGGTGACTCCAAGGCTCTTTGTTTGACCTCCATTTTATTTTTCTTTCTTTCTATATGAACCTTTTTTTCTTTGGTAGTGATTAGTGAAGGACCTGAAAGTTATATAGAGATTGGAGTGTTCGGTGAAGAATAAAACGCGTAGCCAATACCTTTTTCATGTGTGAAACTTCATCGTAATGAATTTCACGGTCTCTTCATATATCAAACTAGATAAGGACCCGTCGGACGGGTTATTTGTCGGACGGGTTATTTGTTTAAAAAGTAAAATCAAATTTAAAAAAAAAATTAATTAACAACGTTGTAAGTAGAAATTTTTTTTCAAAAGTAAAAACAATATTTACTTTTTCACTGTTGCCTTGTTTCTTTAACCACTAAAATTATTAATTCAAAATTATTTCGAATGAAAGATATATTACATAACAATAATTCATGATATACTTATATGAAGAACAAAAATTAAAAATATTCATCATAAAGTTGGTGAATAAAACCAAAGTGGTGTTTAATTAGACACGTCAAAAATATAAAGATGATAAATCGACTAAATTCTTTTGCCTTCGAAGCTAACGTTGCGGGTTCGATTCCTATATACTCGATTGCAATAACTTTATGATCAATCAATAAAAATTAATAAATTCAAAAAGTTATAAGCACGATGATATATGAATCTTTTATAATTCAAATATGTACATAGAAATTGAAATAAACTATTTTGAAATAGTATAATTAAATTCAAAATATCAAAAACAAAAAAGAAGCATATATGTTTCTTACATATTCAAGAATTTCAAATAAAACAATATAATACTTTACTTAAAATCATCACATATTTCTAATTAGAAATTAATATTGATATAAATAATGTAAATTTGTAATTTAAATCATGACACATGTCGCTATCTAAAATCATTAGAAATATGAGATATTATAAATCTTATATAATTTAAACTGAACGTAGAAACCAAAATAAATAATTTAAAGATACAACAGTTAAACTAAAATAAAAAAATTATAAACACGATGATATATGAATCTTTGATAATTTAAATATGAAAAGAAAAATTGAAATAAACAATCTAACTATACTACAATCATAATTGAAGACAAACAAAAAAAAAACAGTTAAGTAAAAAAATATTACAAAAAGGAAAAAAAAATTGATCTCACATATTTCTATTTGAAAAAATAAACTCAAATAAATAATATGAGGATTATTTTAATTAAATCATCACATATTTCTAATTGGAAAAGAAATTGAGATAAATAATATCAAATTTTAAATTAATATATAATAACATATGTTTCCTTTTTAATAAATTTGCCTGATTTTTTTCTTGTTTAATTGAAATATAAAAAACGTATAATTTCCTTATTATTATCTTTTGACAGTTTTTTAAAATTTTTTATAGAAATATGAATTATTTACAATTATTATTATTCTTATAATTATCTTTTACATTTTTAAAATTACTTAAATTTATAATTACTTTCAATTATCTTTTTTTTTTTTATTTTAAGAAGGAAATTTTTGTTATACACGTGTCAAAATCTAAGATCGATAGATTTGCCACGTGTCACGATCATATGAGTTATTAACTTTGAAAACCATACTTTATATAATAAGATGTTGCAATTAATATATATACACAGCCTATAGAAAAAAAAAAAAAAAGAAACTAGATCTAAATTTCTTTAATGGCTATGTCCAAAACCAACGACAATTTTATGACAATTTTCTAATCATTGTTTCTATTTTTGGTTTTTGCGTAATGTATTGATAACACTATATTCCGAAATCCGAACTGGAAGATTTTAAACACCTAACTATTTCTACGTACGTGACACTGATGCGAGCTTCGTGGCCATTTAACGTGGACAATTTGGAGACCGGAGACAATGCAACTATATGTACTAATAATACTCTCTCTGTTTCACAAAGAGTGTCATTTTAGAGTTTTGCACACAAATTAAGAAAACATTAAATTTTTTGTTTTTTCTAAACAAAAACATCATTAACTATATACCTAAACATAATCTGCCCAATAGTAAAACAATCTGCAGAATACTAATAGTCATAAAACATAAAAAATCATTAAATTTTGCATTGAAAACCTAAAACGACACTCTTTGTGAAACAAAAATAAAACCTAAAAACGACACTCTTTATGAAACGGAGGGAGTATATTCTAAATACTATAAATTTTATACAGTATAATTTTATTAAATGTATATTTATACCCAGTGGCGGAGGCAGCCAATGTCTTGGCAGGGGTCAATTTTTATTCTAAAACTAAAAAGGGCGATTGACAAAAATAGTCCCAAAAAAGTTTTTTTTTTCCAAAATTAGCACAAGATTTCTAAAATTCTACAAATAGCACCCTAAACTTTATTTAGAATAGAAAATAAGAGCAAACACTAACCTAATATTAAACTAAATCAAAATTTCTTTTAAATGGTGGAAATATATACCCTAAATTAGAATGAGGGAACCCAAATATAATCCCACAAACCAATGTTAAAATGAATCAAAATCTCTTTTTAAATGGTGGAAATATATACCCTAAATTGGAATTAATGAACCCAAGCATAATAACACAAATTCAATATTAAAATGAATCAATATCTCTCTTTTAAATGGTGGAAATATATACCCTAAATTGGAAATAAAGAACCCAAATATAATATTTTAAATTTATTTCTAATTTATTTTGGTTGAATATTTTTTATATAAAATTTGTTATATTATTGGAAAGAATAAACTAATGATAATAATTTTAGAACAAAAACTTAATAGTTAATCAACTAATGCTATTTTTGAAAGTTTATGGAGTGTGTGCTATAATTGTCCATAAAACTTGTTTTAGTGCTATTTTGGAGAATTTCTCTTTAAAGAAAGTATATTGCTGATTTTAGAATGAAATTTAGTTTGAAATGAATGGAAAAACTATCAAAATTTCACTATCGAGTATCGATTACTCTATTTTTTTTCTTAACACAAAAGTCTCGTGATGGCTTTGGCGATTACTAATCCCACTCATAAGACCATATATCCTTATGATCTTACTTCAAGCGACAACCCTGGTGCAATAATCTCTCAACCTCTTCTCAATGGCTTAAACTACGATGAGTGGTCTCTCAACTTGCGGATGACGCTTTCTTCTTGGAAAAAGTTTGGTTTCCTTGATGGAAGCATATCTAAACCCGCAGCTAATGCCCCTGAACTTGAAGATTGGACTGCAAACAATCACTTGTTGGTTGGGTGGATCAAACAAACAATTGAGCCCAAGATCCGGTCGACCATCTCTACCCGTGAAGTAGCAAAGGATTTATGGGACATCATAAAGAAGCGGTTCTCTATCAAGAGCGGGGCTCGTTTGCAGCAACTTCAAAACTCTTTGGCAAACTGCAAACAAAATGGTTCAACAGTGGATGATTATTTTGGTCGTCTTACTAAACTTTGGGACTGTATATCGGATTGTATGAATTCCAAGAGATGCAGCTGCGGCAAGTGCGAATGTGACCTTAATACGGCTCGTGACAAAGAGCTAGAGACACTTCGCATTCATGATTTTCTCTCTGGTCTCGATGAGTCAACTCACGGAGTGATTCGGTCTCAGATTTGTGCAATCTCTCCTCTACCTGATCTCGATACGGTGTATCAAACAATCTCACAGAATGAAACTATTCGATCTGCTGCCACAACTGAAGTCTCGGTGATGGGATTTGCCTCTCAAGTTTCTGGTCTAAGTTCCTCCTCCAAATCAACCCCGGTGTTTACCCGAGATGTGACTAAACGCAACTCTAACTTCAACGGCTTCTCTCGGCTTGGACCAGGTAACAAAGACCCATCACGACAATGTTCCGCGTGTGGAAGAACGGGACATGAGGCTTCCTCATGCTTTAAAGTTGTGGGCTATTTGGATTGGTGGGGTGATAGACCACGTCCCATGATCTCGTCTCGGAGCTCACAAGGTGTCTCTAATGGTCGTGGAGGTCGTGGTGCTTCTCCCCGAGCTAATATTACGCAGATCGTGAATGCTAAGACGTCTGCACTTGGATCTTCGGAGATCACTGAAAGTGATCGACAAGGCTTGCTGGGACTCTCGGATGATCAATGGAAGCTGGTTGAAAAAGTGATGAATGCGGGCAAGACAACAACACAATTGAATGGTAAGAATAATGATGATGATTGGATCTTAGATACCGGAGCAACTCATCATATGACATGCCGTTTGATCTCTTGACGGATGTTCGTGACATTGCTTCGGTGACGGTCTCGCTAGCAGCCGGCGAATCTGTTGCTACCAAACAGGGGACCGTTAAATTAACTTCCCATTTATCACTCCATAATGTTTACTTGGTTCCCCGGTTTCACATTAATTTGATATCTTTTGGCCAGCTTGTCACAGAAAATTTTCTTGTGGGACAAGTCACTGATAAAATTCTACTTCTACAGGACCGCACTTCGAGGATGCTGATTGGGTTGGGTGAACGAGAGGGAGAGGGGCTGTACCGCTTTCGTCAACTTGGAACGGTGACAGCTTTGCAAACACGAGTTCAAGATGATTTGGTTCTGTGGCATCACCGTATGGGTCATCCGTCTTCTCGTGTTACTGGAATGCTTCCTATTTTCTGTGGTGTCTCTAATACTAATACTGATGTTTTATTTAAAAGTTGTGACGTTTGTTTACGGTCCAAACAAACTCGACATTCCTTTCCTGATAGTTCTAATAATGCGAAAGAAGCTTTTGATTTAATTCATATTGATTTATGGGGTCCTTATCGCAATACGGCGTTTTGTGGTTCGCGTTACTTCTAGACCATTGTGGATGACCATTCCCGAGCCGTTTGGCTTTATCTCCTACGCGACAAGACTCAGGTCTCAAGCCATATTCGTGCTTTTCTCGCTTTAATAGAGAGACAATTCTCCAAGAAGGTGAAATCTATTCTCAGTGACAATGGAAGTGAGTTTATGTGCCTTACCAAATTCTTCCACGAACAAGGTATTGTTCATGAGACTTCATGTGTCCATACTCCGCAGCAGAATGGTCGAGTTGAGCGAAAACACCGTCACATATTGAATGTTGCTCGAGCTTTGCGGTTTCATGCCCGCCTTCCGATTGAATATTGGGGCGAATGCATACTTACGGCGGGATATCTCATTAATCAGACACC